TAAATGAGGTAAAACTGGGTCTGAAGATTCTTCAAAAGAGTAGGTCAAGGAGATCAGAACAGAAATAAAAGCATTAGCTATCCTGAGAAATGCTTCAAAACACAAATCTGCTATTCCTACATCTTCTCTAGATAGAAATCTGTCCTGAAAAGGCCCCATGCATTTGCTTCTCCACTCACTATTCATTGGGCAAATTTCAGATTAAAAACTCTTGTCCATGCAAAGTAAGCATGTCTTTGTGGGCAGTTTTCAAATTAGAAATATTTAAAATATGGGCGATGGCTAATATAACTCATGGAAGATGTCAATGCATGGAAACTGTTGAGGTCTAAGCTAAAGGTCTAAGTTGGCTAATATAACTCATGGAAGATGTCAATGTACCTTTCATTAATAAAAGAGAAATGTGCACAAGAAGGTATACAATTAAAAAGAAAGGAAAAAACAAAAACAGGGGTCAGACCCTTAGGAATTATTGAGAGAGTTTATATGAAATATAGTGCCAATATGCACATGGACCCTATCTTCCTCCAAAATTATTTCTGCCTCCAAATTATATATTTTGAAATTGATAAAAACACTTGTTGTAACAACATAGACATGCCCAAACTTTTGGTTGACAAAAAAATAAACTTTGTGAAATACTGACCTGAATTGTTAGGATCTTGTGGAGCAAGTTGCCTGATCTATTAAAGCTCTGTGCAGTAAAATCTTTATGAACACTTTGAGTACTCTATTTACCAAAGCAAAGCACAAGGCGGTGACACCTGGCAGGACAGCATGCAAGGGCTTGGGAAAAGTGCTCTGTTTGGTACCAGATTTCTTTGTCCTCCATTTGTAATCACTTGTGCTAAGCCGGCTTAACTAAGGCTTGTTTCTGACAAAAAGATATTTTGGGGTCAGGCACAAGTGTGACAGATTGTAAAAGGGTGGCATGTACCTAACACATCTCTTCTGATCAACATATCAACAGATTATCAACTCCTCATCTTCAGCTTTCTAGACTTATGCTCTCTGGCACACCCCTTCTTCTTGGAGGATTTCATCTTTCTGCATGAGAAACCATAATTTCCCTTTTTGCAACTGCTCTGTAACCCCCCATGGAGCTCTTCATTCATATTTCTACTCTCCCTTGAGTTGCAGAGGTCCATGTTATCTGTCTACCAGAACCTTTAGCTCTCTTATAGTGGTGTTATGCACTCCAACTTTTTTATTTATTTGAATCAGTAACTTTCATTAAAAATATCAGTTAATCACTATACACTGTCAACAACTCAGAGTATGAGTGTTTGTCCCAATCAATTTCAATAATTAGAACACAGCCCAAAAAGGTTTTCCCTGATGGTCCCCTGCTTTGCCAAAGTATCAGTCACAGAATTGGCTGACCTCTTTACCCACTTGAAAATTACTCCAACATCCCTTGCTACACTAAGTAGACAAGAAATGGTTCTTACGCCACAAACTAGGTATAAAAAGACTAGAAGAGAAATGGAAAATTAAGAAGAGATAACTTACCTGTTGACAAGATAGATCGATGTTGAGCTGGGAATAGTAGAGGGAAAATGGAAGGCTTCTTGTACGGTTAGAAAAGTTTGACCTGCAAAACCCATCCAAATAAACAAGAGATAGTAAAATCAAATATGTTTAGATGCCCTCTCAGAGATATAATCAAATAAACATTTTATTTTTAAATTTATTCAAGGAAATAGGGAATGCTTAATATTTCCAAAAAAATTAATTTGGGTAGAATAATTTAAAAACAAAAAGACACCTCTGTTGACAACTTTGCGTGGACTACTCTCTAAACAAACTATTCCTCATTATGCAATGGAGTACAAACATACCTTTCAAGTTTCCATCTTAGTGGGTGCACATTGAAATTTGTTTGGTCTTCTGAGCAAAAGGTAATTGGTTGTCAGTTTTTTAATGGTGTTATAAAAAATATTTAAGTGTTTGAGGTTCAATGAGGTAATACGAAGGAGCGATTACGATGTACTGAATTTATTTTGCATAGAGATAAGACTGCTATTAGATGAGGAAAATTGGATTAAAATGAGAATTTGTGCAACTAATAGCTAAATCTCCCCTGGTTGAAATGAAACAATTCTTAGTAGTTACAAAGGGTTCTCAGAAGAATGGACCAATTTTGGAAGAGTAAAATTAGTAGCTTGTTGAGGTAGATGGATGTGGAACCAGATACAAAGGCTGGTTAGGGTTTTTGAAATTCTCTGTATAGGTTGAGTGCAGTTGGAGAGTTTATGTGAGCAATCGGGGGTGGGATGCTGATGCCAATATAAGAAGGAATTATGAGAAGCTTTAGCAAGAGAAAATTCTTAAGGTGTTAGAAACTATATAGAATTGGCAATTACCCTAGTTTAGGAATAAAAATACAATATTTTCTCTTGCAACCTGCAATGAGAGATTTAAGAGATTCAATTATTTATTAAGGATCTTATAAGGTGCTTCATCATTATTAATATATTTGATGTTGTAGGCATGAAGTAACACGTCCTCTTTCCCTGCCCACCAAGTTGCTAATAGTCTCTCAATAGTGAAAATGAATCTTATCATCATACTATGGCTGTCATAAGAGTGTAAGTTTGGGCTATATGGATATTACCTGGATTTACTGCTAAAATGTGAAACTCAGGTTTTGGGTTCTATGATGAACTCATTGAAAAATATCAATGTAGAAGTTTGACAAATTTCAATGGAAAAAACAGAACGTTTAAAGTTTTCTAGTTTTAAGTACAGGTAAGATGCACCATTCACTTAAATACAACTAAAAAATTTATTTAGTTTCTCTTTGGTTTATTTCTAATTGAAGGTGTTTGTTATAGGTTATGGGTTCCAGAATGCAACTTCTAATGAAAACTTTATTCAGAAACTTAATTAACATATTTTTTGGTGGAATAAGCACAATCTTGAAGGTTTTCTAGTTTTAGTGAAGTGCCTTTCCACTTTGAATATAGCCAGGCAATTAAGTTTGCAGTTGCAGCCTTGTTGTATTGCTCCTGCTAAAGTTTGATCTCCTAGTAGAACCCAAATCAACATCTCAATATTGCCTTTGAAGCCACTTATCCGTTAGTGAACCTTTCAGGATCTTACTACATTTCTATGTTGCATGTTTGAATTATGAATACAAAAGCCTTCATAACAATATATCTATATATGTTGTATCACTCTGCTTGCATGTTATGTTTCTGCTGTAACAGACTTACCGAACTTGGGTGTTTTGCTATTTGTATAGGGATGGAGTCTTACAAGTCACCCTTCCTAAGTTTTGAAAATTCAATACACATACATATTCAATGTATATGGGTTAGTTGTTTTGTATAAATCGTTTCAATTAATTTTTGAAGTTCATTAATGTATGCATATAAAGACACCTTACTGTTGTAAAGGACTATGTAGATGCAGCCTTCAGTTGCTACTATTGTATTGGTAATGGCTCATCTACTAGAAACCAATCAACTGGTTGGAACAATGATCAATTGGATGGTTGGAATAGAGCAAGTGTTCTAGTTTTAGAGAAAAATAGCACGATGCAACTCAACATTCTGGGTAAACCATTAAAGATGTGAAGGCTTTTAAACCATTCATGCATATACAACTACATTTATATAAACCATATGTTGTCTTGTTTCTATCAAAGCAAAGCCTAGTGGTTCTCTTGGCAACATTTCAAACTTCAACTGTTAATGATCTATTATGTGGTCTGGTCTCTGTGTTCCAACAATTTGGTTATGGCAGTGGAGAGATACAGCCATTGCCAATGCCTTAACCGCCAAAACTGTGTTCCAACAATCTGGTTATGGCAGTGGAGAAAATCCTACAATCTTTTGTGAGTTTTAAGTTATTGATGCAAACTGAAAAAGAGCCAAAGAAACTCTGTGGTCTGGTCTCCAAGTTTCAATGGAATAGAAAGCAGGGAGAGTTAGTGTCCAAACATATTCAATGGAACAGAAACTATGTATTGCTGTCCAACTTTCAGGATCTATATCAATGATTTGGAGGTTGGAGGTGGGCCACAGATAGAATGTTCCAAGTAGATTTAATGCTATTGTTGAGTTACTAACATGTCCATTACTAGTTATATAGTTATATATAACTATAGTTCAAACTACAGATAAAGGTATAGATATTGAAGCAATGTTTTAAAACGTGGAGGCGTGATGGGAGGCGTTCCACTACCTAGAAGCGTGATGCGAGGCATTCCACTACCTAGAGGTGTGAGGTGTAAGCCTCCGGAACATAAGCCTCCTTAAGAGGAGGGGAGTTAGGAGGAGGATGAAGAGGAAGGGGGGATCTCATTTTTTCTTTATTTTTATAAAAAAAAAATTCTTTTATACTAAGAAGAATAAAGATGCATAACATTAGTTGAAAGGGGGGTCTTGTTGAATCTTTTATACTGGATTCACACATTGTTTTGCCTTTGTCATTTTTCCTTACTTTGGGGGACAATGTGCATGATTAAAATGCTTGTTTTCTGAATCCCTTGAACCATCAATACATCTACAGGTAAATAAATATGCCTTTTTTGGTGGTCAAGATTCTATAGAGGACCACAGGAAGTATGGAGAAAATCTAGAGGTATCATTTCTTGTCCTTCATTTTATATTCATAATACATCTGAACAAGAAAGTTAAATCCTCCTAATTACATGATAATGATAATTAGAAGTCTCATATATATATATATATGTGTGTGTGTGTGTGTGTGTGTGTGTGTGTGGTTATATTGTGGCAAAGGCCTAGTAAATATACATTACTAAAAGAAATACTTCTGAATATGAATCAAATATCTATTTCTGGAATCCGGAATATGACTCAATTCTTAAATGCTTTATGATTTGTAGTATAACTTCCATACAATTTCCTAATATAAAAGATGAATATGCTCATCTTGTTTGCTTAGCTCCCTATTTGTGTCCATGCACACAGGTGTTGACATGGGGTTTTGTTGAATGAAAATTTTCATCTCCTGAGCATTTAAAACCTGCCATGGAAGTAACTTTGTGGTTGATATTCTTTGAATTTAATCAGATAGATATACCAATTAAGTACCTTGGCTTTTTCTTAGAAGATGATGATGAGCTTGAACAAATCAGGAAGGTGAGATAATCTCCAATATACTAGATTTTTTTACATGGAAAAAGCTTGTATCATTTTCTTCATATATTGCTGCCTGGGGTTAGATCTTAAAAGCACTTAAGTTACTATCTTCCAGGAATATGATGCAGGACGGATGCTAACTGGTGAGGTGAAGAAGCGCCTTATTGAAGTTTTGACAGTGTTGGTGGAAAGACACTGTAGGGCCCGAGCTGCAGTACTGATGAGGTACAGCTTTTTTTTCCTTTCTCTAACTCCTTGATGTACTTTGAGATGGTTAAATGAGTTGGTATTGCTGCTTCTAGTTTTAGTTTACCTCAACATTCTTTCATGGGGATGTTGATATCATAAGTAATTAGGTTGACATAGTTTTAGTTTACCTCAACATTTCTATCAGTGAAGATTTTCTAATCTTTTTCCGTTCCTAGATTCTTGTTCTGGGTCAGAGGTTTGCACTGTCAAATTTTACATGTAGAATAGTGATCAACCAACAATTCATTTGAGAAGATTTATTAGTTCTTTTCTAACTATAGATTATCTTTCCCTTTGGAGATTTTTAATATTATACTTTACACTGAACTAGTGATCAAGAAAATAAAGAAAATGCATTCAGAAGATGATTTTCATCTATTGATCATAACAAGAGATAAGTGAATGAAAAGTTTTAGCATTAGTGTGAAAAGATATTAATTTTTATGTTACAACTGTAAAAATACTGATTTATTTTCGAAATTTTGACTAAACTATGGAATATAAGGGGCTGTTTGATAACCAGGTGAAATGGCTGAACTGAATGGCTTATTGCTTTGTCTTTTAGTGAATAAGTTTTTTTAGGAGGCTGGTGAACTTTTTAATGGCTGAAGCTAAAGTTAAGTTAATCACCATACCCTCTAATATTTTATTAGTTAATTATTTTATTCACTAAAAGAGGAAACAATAAGTCATTCAATTCAGACCCTTCAGCCATTATCAACTTGACCAAATATTTGCAAGCCAGCTTCTATTTGCAGCACATGTTTTCACTCAGCAGTGAGCAGTCAGCAGCATCTTGTAGAGTAAATGTTAGCATGTTATGTGCAGTTGTTTTTTGAAAATGTTCATCTTGATAATTTGGTAGCTGTGATGTTGTACAGACCTATCTATAATCTCTTACAAATCAGCTTGAGGAGATGAGAGTCGAAAGGCATGATTCGGAGCAGTGGATGCATCATAGGTTGCTGCCACAAGAGCTCCGTGAGCGAGTTAGACGGTACGATTAGTACAAGTGGTTGGAAACACGAGGGGTGGATGAAGAGAGTTTGGTTCAGACCCTATTGAAATCTTGTACAAACCAAGAATTTATCAAATTGAAATTAAAATGTATTTGTGATTCAAATATTTTGAATGGAGAATGGTTTTTTAAATTTTATTTGTAATTGATGTTTTTTTGTGTGTTTTATTTCGATTTAAATGAATTTAGAAAAAATAGGTAATTTGAAGAAAATTAGAAAAAAAATAAAAAAATAGGTTATTTGAAAAATATACTTTTAGCGGCAACCGTGACTTCCGTCGAAGAAGTTCATGGCTGCTACTAAAAAAGCATGCGCCAAACTTATAGTGGCAGCCAAATCAATGAAAGTCTTCTTTATTTATTTCTTGTCCATACTTCTGGAATGGGTTAAGAATTTCAATTGTGCATTTAACTGCAGATTCCACTTGGGTTTGTATTAGCAATCCCACCTTTCAACTATCCTATTAACTTGGCAGTCTCAAAAATTGCTCCTGCCCTGATTGCTGGAAACTCTCTGGTTCTCAAGCCTCCAACTCAGGTATTCTACTAAAAATTTCATTTACTCTAATAATGAGGTTGTCTAATTGTCTAGGTAGTACATGCACATATTTCAAATTCCCCTTCTAAAATGGCTACAACTCTTTAACTATGTTTCAAGGTTCTCCCACTTAAATGGTGAAAATCCTTTGTCACTTGGCAGGTTTCCCCAAAGGTCTTATCAGTTGTGTTATTGGAAAAGGTTCTGAAATTGGTTACTTTCTCACAATGCATCCTGCGGTGAATTGTATAAGGTTATATTTCTTACCTTGAGGCCATCAATACTCCATAAGTTGGTGCTTACTTCTTTTCTGAAATATACTCAGTTTATCCTGCCTCGCAAGCATGTTTGGTGTGTAGCTTCACTGATGGAGACACTGGAATAGCAATATCAAAGAAAGTGGGCATGGTCCCTCTTCAGATGGAACTGGGGGGAAAAGATGCATGCATTGTGCTTGAAGATGCTGATTTGGATTTAGTTTCAGCAAACATCATAAAAGGAGGCTTCTCTTACAGGTATGAGGATTCAGAGAACCTCTAAACTTGTCATTGAATGGTTTAGCTTTTCATCTTAGCAAATTCATTTGACAAATACATCTGGAATGCATTCTATTTTCTTTTGTTACAATGGCCAAAGATGCACAGCTGTCAATGTTGTCTTGGTGATGGAGCCTGTAGCTAATGCTCTTGTCAACAAAGTCAAAGTAAGAGTAGCAAAACTGACTGTTGGAGCACCAGAGGATGACTGTGATATTACACCAGTTGTCTCAGAATCATCTGCGAACTTCATTGAAGGGCTGGTAATGGATGCCAAGCAGAAAGGAGCAACATTTTGCCAAGAGTACAGGAGAGAAGGAAATCCCATCTGGTTCCTCTTGTTAGATAATGTCCGACCTGATATGAGGATTGCATGGGAGGAACCATTTGGTCCTGTTTTGCCAGTCATATGGGTAAACTCTGTCAAGGAAGGAATTCACCATTGCAATGCTAGCAATTTTGGATTGCAGGTAAAGATTTCATCTTCTTTTCCTCCCCTATTTTCAGAATAGTCCCCTTCAGCTTGGAGGAAACATTGAATCATTGTTTTCTCCCAACTTAACATAATTTCCTTCTAGGAAATTGTCCAATATCCTTGAACCCAAATGAAGGCTATCATATTAACTCTGGATCTAGCCCCCTATTGAAATTAGGGTTGCAAAGGGTTGGGTTTCATAGAAATTAATTAGCATGATTGAATCATTAATGTGTGGTGCTAATGCACCGTGGTCTCAAATACATCTATTGGCACTTCATTATGGTCTGCTTGATGCAAAGTGGTGTTAAAACATTTGTTATCTAACGACTTGTCAAAATAAGAGAGATTATTCTTGCAATATGATACTAGTTACCATCCATATTTGATAGTAAATGTAACTTTTTTTCTTTTTGTAACTGTAATTGGTCCTATTACAACTAGAATTCCATCTTATACATGATTTGAACTCAGGGTTGTGTCTTCACAAGAGATATCAATACGGCAGTTTTGATTAGTGATTCAATGGAGACGGGAACAGTTCAAATCAATTCATCCCCAGCTCGTGGGCCAGTTCATTTTCCTTTCCAGGTATACATGGGCTCTCTGAAACTAATTCAACATTAAAATTTTCAGTGACTATACTCTTCATATGGAGATTCACTGGATTAATTGTTGTTTATTTGCAGGGTGTAAGAGATAGTGGAATTGGGTCACAAGGAGTCACAAACAGTATTAACTTCATGACCAAGGTCAAAAGCACAGTCATCAACCTTCCATCCCCTTCATACACCATGGGTTAATAGGTTTTATTAGAGACCACCACTTCTATTGTAGTTAAGTCCTTGATGGGCATCCTTTTCATTGTTTTTCCTTTCTCCTTTCTCTTATATTGTTATTCAGAGGATTAATGGAGATCCGCGTGGCTGTCTGGTTAGAATCATGGGGGGTATCTAGTAGTTCTGATAATCTATGTACGAGAAATGATTTTTCCAACTTTCTCATCTCAGGCCAAACCTCCAGTTTTGGAAGTTTTGGGCAGTCTATGATGTGTCTGTTCTACTGCATAAGGAGAATATAATATGGAATGATGAATATAAGCTATTTTAATTGATCTATGGTTTATATCATTTGATTTGCAGTTTGATTTGATAACTACTAGCTAGATTGTTTCTAGCAAAGCAGATTGGTGTAATTCAAGGTGTACGTAGTAATGATGAAGGAACCATTACGAATTTATGGATCAGCTTGGGCAACCATGTCTAACTGTCTTTTTATAGGTTTAGCGATATAGAGGAGTCTTTAGCAGATACCATAGCCACGTCACCTTATCATAATAATCATGGATATCTCTTATCATATAATGACAACCAGAATTTGGAATAAACCCATTAGTGAAGATTACGATTACTTGGGTGTTCTATTTACACTGTAAAGGGGAGTTTTACATGTACAGCATAAAGAGCTTACAAGGATAAGATATATCAACAAATGATGGAATTATGATAAGAGCTATCCATGATTATGATACAATATATCATCATGAAGTTGGATTTGCCAGTTCGACACTCTATCAGTCTTGTGTTTGTGAGCATGTCCAGTTTGGCGGCCTCTTATTGACACCACTTCCTTTTGTTTTTATTCAAAATAAATTAAGATTGTAATCACTAATTTATCCATTCTCATGGTAACGTGGCATTCCCAGAAATTCTCTCAACAGCATATGCTGTTGGGCCACAACAGTTAAAGTTTTTCCCACTTCCTTTACTATGGCCATGTTTGGGAGTGTTTAAAAATAAGTGCTTATTCGGACCATTAAGCACTTATTGGTATTTGCGGAATAACCTCGAAATAAGTGTTTATTTTAAAAATAAGGTCTTATTTTTTAAAACCAAATCTCTAGCTTTTTCTTAAGTGCTTATACAATAAGCACTTATTCGATTATTTTCTTCAAAAATTATCCCTAGTTGAATTTTAAAATACCACTCATAATATTATCCCTAGTTGAATTTTATAAAAGTACTTTTATAAAGATATTTTTATGGAATCACTTTTATAAAAGTACTTTCGTAAAAGTGCTTTTGAAAGGGTATTTTCTTAAAAGTGCTTTCATGAAAGTACTTTCATAAAAGTGCTTTTATGAAAGTAATTTAGTAAAAGTACTTTCAAAGAGTATATTTTGAAAATTTGAAAGAATATGAAGGACAAAATAGTCATAAATACTTATTTAAGTGCTTATTAGAGAAAAAGGCTACCAAATGCCTAATATAAAATAAGCATTTATTTAAAAAAAAATAAGCACTTGAACACATTTGGGGGCCAAATGGAAATAGGTGCTTATTCAAATAAGCACTTGTTTTTAAACACTTATTTTTAACTTAAGCACTCCCAAACATGACCTATACACCGATGATTGGGTCTAGACCTGGTTCTTTATAATAGCGTAAATTGCTGAAACCCCCGTTGAATTTCCTGACCATTGCTGGAATGTCTCCTAAAGTTTGGTAATTGTGTGTGTGTTGATTGCTTCCATCGATTATTCTGGCTCAACAATAAAATTTAGTGAGCCTTTGGTTATCTTTGTTTGCAATTTGGTAATTTTTTTTTTCTAAGTTGGTTATTGATCTCTTGCTAAGAACATTTCTTGGCTTTACAAGGCTACACAAACCAGGGGGCGAGGGGAGGGGGCTAGGCCATCCCCCAACCTTAGTGGCAGCGGGATTTGATCCTAGGTCTCTACTACAACTAGATAGAGAACTTATCAACTAAGTCACCATCAATTGGCTGGCATGCTAAGCCGTTGATTTATGTACTCATAATATACAAGCTATATAAAAATGAATAGAGTTTGAAGCTTGATAACTAAAATGGGAAAGAAAATTATTTTTGTACTATTTTATACGTAAAGAACTAGAAATATATTAACATTTTCGCGAATCACTACTACTTGATTTTTTCCACTTAAAAATGCATTTTAAAAAAGCAGCTTGTGCATTGCACGAGTCATTTTCCTTTCCCCCATTAAATCCATTCTTTCATCTTAAGTTTATTTTGACTCTCTTAATAGAGCAAGGGTATAAATTAGATAGGTTGGTTCCATTTTAAGCCTAACCTAAGACCAACCCTAGATGTAGACCCTAGCTATAGACCCAAACTGATGCCAAGACCCAAATTTGCCAACCTAAACCTAACCAAAATTTCCCTCTCATGACCGAGTTTAGATTTGCTCCTCATAGAGCATGCCTCACATTGACCTCACAGTTTGTTTCAGTCGTGCATCGGGAACATATCCCCATGAATAAAAATTTTCAATTTCAAAGATGTTCCGAATGCATGATTAAAATGAGCCGTGAGGCATTTTTTGTGAGGAACAGATTCGAACTCCTTATGATCTCCTCCTCTCATTTTTAACATGTGGTTATTTATTTCTAAATTAGGGTAAAATGCAAAAACCTCCCCTAAAGTTTCTGACAATTACAAAAATCTCCCCTTTAATTTCACTTTAACAAAAATCTCCCCTAAACTTTTAAAGAATTTGACAAAACCTCCTTTCCATATGGAAAACATTAAACCAGTGCATCATTTTTTTTGAAATGTCCATTTTACCCTTTTGTAAGTTAGTTAATATACTTTTACTAAAATACCCCATTTGAAAATCGACCAAAAAATGCCCTTCGACATATTTATCCTTTTCTAATCCCTGAACTCAACCGTACGAGGAATGCAACTCTTTGATCTTTAATCCAAACTCTATTGGTTCCGAAAAAGAGTAATCCTGAAAAGTCTTTGTCATTTTATTCCTCCTCTTTCAATGTCCCTTAACTCCATCCACTCAAGAAGAGGCAGTCATTGACTCTTTCACCACTAAAACTTACTCCAATCAGGCAAAGAAGCTACATTCGATGCTTGGGACAATGGGGTTTCTTTGAACTCTATTGACCACTCTAATAACTTTCTTCAAGATGGGTTTTCAAATTTCTTTGTAAACATGTCAAGTTTACAGAAGATTAAGCTCGTATACAACCAGTTGAGATCGAACATTTCATATGCGCTTTCCTCTATTGATCTCCACTCAAATCAACTCTATGGGCTGGGCCACTATCAACGCTTTTATACACTAACAAAATCAGATTTCTGGAGCTTGTAGACATTTTAAACAATCAAATCACAGGTGAGATTCCAAAGTTCTGTGAAGGTTCAGGTTTGAAACTGCTGAACTTGGAAAGCAACAGAATTTCAGGTCAAATCTCAGATTCAGTCTCAAACCTGATTGAACTAGAAAGGTTTGATGTTACAACGAACCAGATTAAGGGCACCATCCCTGCAAGCTTAGGCCAGTTACCAAAGTTGCAATGGCTCAACTTGTCCATCAATGCTCTTAGTGGCAAGACATCAATGTTTTCAATGACGAGATCCCAGACAACTTTCTAGGCCTATAGAGTCTCAGGCATGCAAGTTTCAGGGCAAGCAAACTTTGTGGAGGGATACCACAGGGGAGACCATTCAACATTTTCCCTGTGGCTGCTTACACCCATAACCAATGCTTATGTGACAAGCCCATGCCACCTTGCAAGATAAACAACCTATAGGAGTAGGGTTAGTGAAATGTTGATCCAACTGCCAATGGGCATTTTTTCATGCCCTATCAACATTGTTAGATTAGATTAAGAGACAGTTCTATTTCATAATAATTGAAATCCTTTATTTTTTTTATTGAATACATTATTACACTTATTGTTTGTTTGTTTTTCAAGGGAAGCAATCCATTGGATTTGATAGTGAATTTAGTTAGCTCTGTACTCAATACTATTTATGCTATTCAAGAATAAGAACTACATCATTCCTTGTATTAGTAGTCAATCATTCCATTAGAATTGCGAAGACACCGAAGAACCCATTTATAGGCATGTTCAACTGAATCATTGTAGAGAGAGAGAGAGAGAGGGGATGTGGAGTTGAAATTGGATTGCTATTATGAAATGGATTCCACTAACAAAACCCAATGATCGCATCTGGTTTAAGCATTTATAGGTGGCAGTCAACCCATACGTTAAGGTTACTCAAAATGGCCTCTACGAATATATCTTATAATCTACTCTTCTACTTCCGCTTCCGCTTCTGCTTCCTCTTCCCTCTTTGAGCTTCCTTGCTCCTGATATAATAAACAAGCATTTACAATAATGTTATTAATATTATGACATCAAAATGAGAATTATCAAAAGCAAATAATTCAATGTGTTAGTGGGGAAAAGAAAATAAGCGTGGAAGTACCCAAATTCATCTTGATCTTAGAATTAAGGCTACAACTATGCATATCGATAAGCACCACGAGGACATCCTTGTTATATTCTTCATTGCAAATCAATAGAAACCCAACTCCCCTCATTAACTAGTAAAAATTAAGATGCTACCTTAAGCCCAATACTTGAGTAGTGATAGTAACAATTTAGCGACATTAGAAACAAATCCTCATGGAATCAAAATACTACACATACTTCCTCCTAGAAATCGAGAAACAACAGATGAAGATGCATAGAAACAAATCGCAAGGCTTAACAAATAGACCTTTTAAAAGCCCAAAAATCTTAGACGAATAGAACAACTAAATAATAGATGAACTACTGATTGAAAAGATGAACCTTAGCATCTAGTGAAAGTGCTTCCATCCTTGGCATGTTTCAGAGTACTTTTCTCCACTTCGACCCCTCTTTCTTGCTCTTGGAGTAGACTTCAATGAAGCTTTCGCCATGTTTTGTTCAACAGAGAGACCATGCTAGTGATATATATATAGATAGATAGATAGATAGATAGAGAGAGAGAGAGAGAGAGAGAGAGAGAGAGAGTGGTGAAGGAGTCAACGACTACCTCTTCTTGAGTCGATGGAGTTTAAAGGGACATTGAAAAAGGAGGAAGAGAATGACAAGGATTACTCTTTTATTGAACCGATATAGTTCAGATGAAAGATCAAAGAGTTGCATTCTTCGTATAGTTGAGTTTAGGGATTAGAAAAGTATAAATAGGCCGAAGGGAGTTTTTTTGGTCGATTTTCAAATGGGGGTATTTTAGTAAAAGTATATAAACTAATTTACAAAAGGGTAAAATGGACATTTTGAAAAAATTGTTCACCTGT